CTGCTTTGATGAAGTTGCAAAGAGTGAAGTGGAGAACATCCTCAAGAAAATGAAGCCTTCATCCTGTGCCCTGGATCCCTGCCCCTCATCACTCATAAAATCTAATCATGCCGCAATAAGTCCGTTAATCACACAAATAATAAACAAATCACTGAAATCTGGTCATGTTCCATTGCCTCTTAAAACAGCCATCATTAAACCTCTTCTAAAGAAATCTACCCTGGATCCAGATATTCTTTCCAATTACCGCCCAATTTCACATCTTCCTTTTCTGTCAAAAGTGCTGGAAAAAGCTGTTGCCGCTCAGCTGCAGCTTCATCTAGAACAAAACTCCCTGTACGAGAAATTTCAGTCTGGGTTTCGTTCTGCTCACAGCACTGAGACCGCTTTGCTGAGAGTTACTAATGACATCTACATGGCAGCTGATGCTGGGTCTACATCTCTCCTTGTTCTCCTTGATCTAACTGCAGCCTTTGACACTGTGGACCATAACATCCTACTACACAGTCTTCATGTGGAGGTCGGTCTCTGTGACACCGTTCTGGACTGGTTTAAATCTTTTCTCTCCAATCGGCTGGAATGTGTTAGCCTCGGCAAGGCCAAGTCCCAGGCTGTCTCTGTCTCCTGTGGTGTCCCACAGGGGTCAGTATTAGGGCCCCTGCTGTTTTCCCTTTACATGCTGCCTTTGGGTCAAATCATAAATCGATATAACATCTCCTTTCACTGCTATGCCGACGATATACAACTCTATATTAGAACTGGAGCATCATCACCATCTTCACTTAATGCTTTCACTACCTGCCTGGAGGAGATAAGGAAGTGGATGACTCAGAATTTCCTTCAGTTGAACTGCTCCAAAACTGAGGCCATGCTGATCGGAACACCTCACCAGGTTCAATCTTCAACTATGACGACTGTTTCCTTTTCTGGACAAGACATCCCATTTTCCACCATAGTTACAAATCTTGGAGTTAGAATGGATTCTCAATTTACTTTTGAAAATCACATTAAGCATCTGTCTAAAATCTGTTTCCTTCATCTTCGTAATATCTCCAAAATTCGTCCGTTTCTTTCTTTTTCTGATGCTGAGACTCTCGTTCATGCATTTGTCTCCTCCAGGTTAGACTACTGCAACTCTCTGTTTGTTGGAATCCATAAAAAACATCTTCAGAAGCTCCAATACATTCAAAACAGCGCAGCCAGGATTCTCTTGAGGGCCCGCAAATTTGCCCATATTACACCTATTCTGCATGACCTTCACTGGCTTCCCATCACCTGCAGAGTTCAATACAAAATCGCGCTCATCACCCATCAGTGTTTAAACGGATCCTCACCGGATTATCTGAAGGACCTTCTCACTCCACATTCATCCACCAGATCTCTTCGATCACAAGACTGCAACTTCCTTCACCTTCCTCGCTCCAGATTAAGGTCCATGGGAGATCGGGCCTTCGCTGTCGCTGCCCCCCGTCTCTGGAACTCTCTCCCAGATCATCTGAGAGCTCCACAACCATTGAATGATTTTAAAAGAGGCTTGAAGACTTTTTTATTTAAGCAAGCCTATTCTGCCTCCACATGATTTTTATGTTGTTTATTTTTATCTTTGATTTTATTGACCACATGATTTTTATGTTGTTTATTTTTATCTTTGATTTTATTGACCACATGATTTTTATGGTTGATTTTTATCTTTGATTTTATTTGCACTGTGTAGCACTTTGAGATTTTTCTTAATGAAAAGTGCGGTACAAAATTGGATTTATTATTATTATTATTAGAAGCTCTGTCACTACCCGATCCGTCCCGGAAGCACAATCCGTTCTGCGCATACGCGAATAGATTTACATCTGGGTGTCCATATATAATGTAATTATGGTACTAAAACTACTTATTTCTATCCTTAACTCACTAAAAAATACTAATACACATCTGTAAAAAAATGTTTTATGACATTTGTGAGACAATTTTGATGCTTTTTACATTTTCTTGGTTAAACTGCTTCTCTGACGTCATCATCAGACATGCTCAGAGCAGTCCAGCAAAATCTAAGTAAACCACAACTTTCTTTAGATTACGTAATATATAGCATAAGGTTAAAACGAAACGAAAACATAAAAAAAGACAGGATTTATGTTTAAACCCAAAGCCGTAAAAGTTAGCCACCGGAAGCAGCGTAGGATCCTATTTCCGGTGCAGATCGGGAAGAGACAAGTGATAAAACAGAATTTAAGAAATCTTTTTTTGTCAGAAAATACATTATTAACCTTTACTACATTATATATTCGTACGTTTTCTATTTTAGGGGAGGGAAAACATCATTTAGGTATTTTTAACAAAATAAAATCAGGGACCACCCCGATGTACAGGTGCTGGTCATAAAATTAGAATATCATGAAAAAGTAGATTGATTTCAGTAATTCCATTTAAAAAGTGAAACTTGTATATTATATTCATACATTACATACAAACTCATATATTTCAGATGTTTATTTTGTTTAATTTTGATGATTACAAATGACAACAAATGAAAATCTCAAATTCATCATATCAGAAAATTAGAATATTGTGAAAAGGTTCAAAATTGATGGCCCCTGGTGCCACACTCTAATCAGCTAATTAACTCAAACCACCTGCAAAAGCCTTTAAATGGTCTTTCAGTCTAGTTCTATAGGCTACACAATCATGGGGAAGACTGCTGACTTGACAGTTGTCCAAAAGACGACCATCGACACCTTGCACAAGGAGGGCAAGACACAAAAGGTCATCGCTAAACAGGCTGGCTGTTCACAGAGCTCAGTGTCCAAGCACATTAATAGAGAGGCGAAGGGAAGGAAAAGATGTGGTCGAAAAAAGTGTACAAGCAAGAGAGATAACCGCACCCTGGAGAGGATTGTGAAACAAAACCCCTTCAAAAATGTGGGGGAGATTCACAAAGAGTGGACTGCAGCTGGAGTGAGTGCTTCAAGAACCACCACACACAGACGTATGAAAGACATGGGTTTCTGCTGTCGCATTCCTTGTGTCAAGCCACTCTTGAACCACAGACAGCGTCAGAAGCGTCTTGCCTGGGCTAAAGAGAAACAGGACTGGACTGCTGGTGAGTGGTCCAAAGTCATGTTCTCTGATGAAAGTAAATTTTGCATTTCCTTTGGAAATCAAGGTCCCAGAGTCTGGAGGAAAAGAAGAGAGGCACTTCATCCACGTTGCTTGAAGTCCAGTGTAAAGTTTCCACAGTCAGTGATGGTTTGGGGTGCCATGTCATCTGCTGGTGTTGGTCCATTGTGTTTTCTGAGGTCCAGGGTCAACGCAGCCACATACCAGGAAGTTTTAGAGCACTTCATGCTTCCTGCAGCTGACCAACTTGCAGATTTCATTTTCCAACAGGACTTGGCACCTGCACACAGTGCCAAAGCTACCAGTACCTGGTTGAAGGACCATGGTATCCCTGTTCTTAATTGGCCAGCAAACTCTCCTGACCTTAACCCCATAGAAAATCTATGGGGTATTGTGAAGAAGAAGATGCAATACACCAGACCCAACAATTCAGAAGAGCTAAAAGCCACTATTAGAGCAACCTGGGCTATCATAACACCTGAGCAGTGCCACAGACTGATCGACTCCATGCCACGCCGCATTGCTGCAGTAATACAGGCCAAAGGAGGCCCAACTAAATACTGAGTGCTGTACATGCTCATACTTTTCATGTTCATACTTTTCAGTTGGCCAACATTTCTATAAATCCTTTGTTTTTATTGGTCTTCAGTAATATTCTAATTTTCTGATATGATGAATTTGAGATTTTCATTTGTTGTCATTTGTAATCATCAAAATTAAACAAAATAAACATCTGAAATATATGAGTTTGTATGTAATGTATGAATATAATATACAAGTTTCACTTTTTAAATGGAATTACTGAAATCAATCTACTTTTTCATGATATTCTAATTTTATGACCAGCACCTGTATATCTGGATGCGCAAATGAGCTGATGGCGCATGCGCAGAACGGATCGTGCTTTCGGGACGGATCGGGTAGTGACAAGCTCATACTGCAGCTAGCTAATAAGCTAACAGGAGCTAGCTTTCTTCTTTGTCCCTTTTCCTGTGACTATATGTAAAGCTCCCCCTACAGGTATTGAGGGGGACAGTTCAGTAGAAATCAGCGGCTTATAGCCCGGTGTGGCTTATATACGTACTTTTCCAGTAAAAAAAAAAAAAAAAGTGTGCGTTGCTTGTATAGTCTGGAAAATACGGCACTCCATAAACTACATTCAAAAGCAATTTCTTAACAAATCAGTCAATCATATTTTAATGATCTAAACATTAAACTTTTACTTTTCTATTAATTAATTCCAGATCCCAGTGGGCCTAACTTTAGTTTAAAAAAAGGAAATGTTGAACACACCATACCTTGCTTTGTAATCAAAACACATTTAATGCATTTTTGTATTTGTTTTGTTTTGTCTAAAATTGTGAAGCAATAGAAATGTAAATATATTTTCATGTTGAAATAAAACTGACATATGGGCAAATTAATTTAGTTAATCTTTTAATGTTTTAAAGGCTTGTTACCCATTTTTTCCCCCCCTCTTTAAAATAAAACCAATACGAGAAGAAAGAAACATGATTTAGTTTTGTGTAACACAAATGATGTGCTGCACTAAGAGGAATGAAGGTTTATGGTTTATGTCTCATTCAGCTCGCCCAGGTGAAAGAAAACTGATAATAATGGTTAAGCCGACTCCTATGCGGCCTTCTTCTTGCTGCATAAACCTCAGCAGCTGTTTATTTAAATCATTCATTGTGACACTTAAAGTCAGTTTTATCATACATCTCATTTAAATCTGAAAACTTCTTTAAAGAAATTTGCACCAAGCACCAGGCACTGCATAATATGTACTCATAAGAGCAGCTTTATGTAAAACACACGCACGTATTCACCATGTAGCTTTATGTATATACAGCTTTTAAACCATCTCTACTCATTTCTGTCTACAGGTTGATGCTGACGGGAGCAAAGAAAGAGCTGGGGAGCGCTACGCTGAAGGCACCGATGAGTTTAATCATCATCATGAGGAAGAGTGAGGGAGCTTTACATCCAGGGACCAACTGGTTGTTCAGAGCTTTGGTTCGAATCCGTCTGTGTTCTGTTCTTCATCCTGGCATCATTGGCAACATCTCCATCTGTTTAATTAGTTTACTCTCAATATTTAAATCAACAAAAACGTCTCTTTTACGTCCAATGTTGTCCTGAATTCAGGGAGCAGTAAGTGATTGCTTGATGCTGCAGGCCGGGCAGTAATTAGACCTGAGTTCGGCTTTTTAGAATCAACTCTAGAAACTATTATACACACTTAATTTTGGTTTTAATAATTATTTTATTCACACATAGTGAGGTTTGTTTCAATAGCAGATGAATTCATGGTTTGGAAACAACAGCTTTTATATATTTTGTCTTATTTTATGTGCTCAATGATCTGAAACTTTAAAGTGTGATTCAAAACGAAGGAGAAACCTTTTGGCAGCAGAGGATGCGTACAAAAAAAGAGGTATTTGTGGAGTTTTTATCGCATTTTCTGTTTGCATGGCATCCTCTCGCTTGGTTAACCCGATGGTACAGAAAACGTCAGATATAATAGATTTAAACTGTTCAAATCACATAATTTTTTATTGCTACAGCTATATTAAGGTATGAAATAATCATTTCAGAGTTACTCTTTTATTGACAGTTCACAATTTTCTGAGGTTTTTCCTAAAGCTGCAGAAAAACATTTTTTAATCTTCTCTCTTTATCAATTATCTGCTTAAGCATCAAATGATGCAGGGAAGAAGCCCGGTTTGGTGGTGTTACCCCCTCAGAGTTCATCATGTACGACACCTTAAACTCATTGTAAGCTGGCAGGTTTACAGCTGTGTTCTCAGGTTAAAGCGTGATTTATTTCATCCTAAAACCACCTGGCGGGCAGATGAGAGGTGTACGATATTTGTTTTGCATCTTAAAAGGAATGGGGCACATTAATCATGTCTTGTATATAAAATCAAAGTAAATGTAGACATAAGTGGTTTGGGTTTTAATGTAAAAGATGCAGTAAAATCGCTACTAGTTTAGCTTATCTCACCTCTCTTTGGGTCGCTGACACTTTTTCTGCTTCAAGGAGACATCATGTCTGCTTTAATGATTTTATGCAATCACTGCTCCCTGTTTCACTAGCAGAGAAAGAATCAGGGAATTTAACTTCCTGACATCAGTCCAATGAGTCGCCTCACATTTTATAGAGTTTATTTGTACTGCAAGGGAAAAATCATGTAAAAAAAAAAAGAAAGATATGCATGTTTTATGTTGCTTTATATCAAATCATGTTTTTTCAATCTCAAGCAATCAGCTGTTTTTTGTTTTTATTTTTTGCTTTAAACCAGCTCCTCACTGCTCTTCATATATGAATTAAATCTTTCTTTGTTGGATCGGTGTAATCCATCTTCAGGACATTCTGTGACTCACATGCAAAGAACAACACTGCCTCTAAAGTTAGTTTTTCTACTCTAAGTTACCTTTAAAAAAAAAAGAATGATGTATTGCATTTGATTTTACAGTGTGTGTTCTCTGTCTGTTGAATGCTCCTCATACCTCAGCAGACCAAGAGGGCTTTTTTGTTTGGTTTGTTTGAATTTTTTCTCATTTTGTAAATGGTGCGTTTGAGGACGTAACGACAAACTGTTTGCTTTAAAATCTTTGTGTTGAATTCTGATGAATAAAGTCGATGAATTTGGGTTCAAAGATACTGTATAGTGTTTTTTTTTTAAGTTAAAGGTACACTATGCAACCGGTGTTGATTTTCTAGCGAGGCTCCCCCCAGAGGGCGAAAGTAAAAGTGCACTGTCGTAAATATGCACAGCTGTTCTCCTGGTTTCTCCGTCAAGCCAGGCGCGGTTGTTTTGAGCTTAGCAGACAGGCAAACGCAACGAATGACTAAGCATCTGACGCGCGTGATGCACCGCAAACGCGCTGCTGCTCGAGATGGAAAAATTTAATTTTTGCTGCTCGACGCGCCGCGTCAACCAATCAGAGAAGCTGATCTGGGAGCTGGCAGGGAGAGAGACACAGCGCTGATGATCAGAGCGCTATGATCACTCCTTTTAAACAGTTTATTGACGCCTAAATTAACTTAAAATGCAGAAATCTGCCGGCAGAATATGTTTGCTTTTATTATCCTGCTGCCTGCAGTTTGGATTATTTAGATGAAAAACACCTACCAGCTGCCGCGGTGAACCGCGAGGAGGCGACCCGGCCAGAGGCTGCTGATGAAGGGATTCCTACTGTGGGCGCACCACTGGTATGTGGGGGTCTGAGCGGCTCCGACAGAAAAAATATTGTAAGGCAGGATGATAATCTGAATGAACTGACTGCACTGATTACGTTTTCAGGTGTATTTTCTTACTTAAAAACATATTAAAACTACTTTATTCCCACTGAAGTCTCTGCAAGGCAGAGAAAGGATAGTGAAGCTTTGCTACTTCTGTTATTTGCAGTCTCTGAAATAAAATGCACAATAATATTACAGTTTGCATTGATTTATATTAAAATTTGAAACATTGTCTTACCTGTAAGGTAAAAAAATAAAAAAAAAACAATCGAATTGTATTGTGGTGTATTCTTGAGTATTGAAAATAATCGAATCGTTGGGTCCGGAAATTGATACTGCGCAAGGTTAAGATGCATTAACCTCGATACAGAAATGTTTCAGAGCAATGCAACGCAGTGACATGTATGATGTCATCGTGTCAACCAGAGACCGAAAGGCTGAAGCAAAACAAACATGGCTGTACTAGCTTTAGCTGAAACACCATCTATTTCTTTTTGGAAAAAAAAAGAATAAAAGATGCAAGTTGTGCCTTTGTTGATGTGAAAGGTTTTTGCACGTCTTGTCCGACCAGATTTGGAAAAATTTTGATTTATCAGTTAACTCTGCTGTTTGTTAAACAAATCAAGAACGCTATCTGTCAAAGTTTCTTCTGATTGGCTGAAAGCTCAACATGGGAGGCAGGTGCCACTCGGGGATTTACCCAATCAGCTCGAAGAATTGTACTGAATGTCCCTCCTTATTGCAAACACTTTTCAGAGGAGCCCTTCCAGTTTGAACTACATGCATCACTGATTCCTTTAGTTTTAAACATTTGAGAAGAAAAGATGATGCAATGATAATACTTTTGTTATCCTTAATTTTTTTTGTTTGGAACAATAAAAATTAAATCTTACGTTCTTTCTAGATTGTCCAAACAGCAGAGATCTGGACCCAAGTCATGTGACTTAGAATCCAGTCAGAGTTGAGTCACAAAGTTAATAAGCGCACATTTAACTTAATAAAATGATGAAAGACTTAATACGACTTTTGATCATGTTAAGTTCTTATGGGTTGACGCTATAAAACATTTAACCTGGCATAAGCCAAATTCAAATTATGTTTACATCTGGAAAGCCTCCTGTTGAAAGTGTTTGCAAAAGGGAGGGACATTCAGTATAATTCTTAGAGCTGGTTGGGTAAATCAAGGGGCACAACATGCACCCGATCTCATTAGTCCGAATCGTCTCAGTATGGAGTTTTTATCACAAATTATGCGACAATTCATCTTGCTTGCAAGTTGATAAAACACTGCATCTTACAGTAAACAGACAGAGGAAGGATTTAATAATAGAACTGTCCTGAAGGAGCGTTTCAGCCTGCTGCTACCAGCACCCTGTGCCTACTGTGCTTTTTACATACTTTCTTCCTCATCCAACAAAGAGAGTTGTCGATGGTAGATGGAGCCTTTTGTTCACTCCTACTGTATCAAAAAGGTGTGCACTAACTTGGAAAGAAGAAAAAATTTGCAAGTGGTATTGCTCAAACAACTTAAAGGCTACTATGCTATATTTTTTTGATATATTTTTTTCCCCCTCAATAAAAACGAGGAGCCGGGATAGACCATCACCACTAATATCAACTGGAGCGGTTTCTAACCCTACAGAGCAGAACGGAGCTGGACAGAAACCTACAACAGGAGTAGTAGTGAGTAAACACTCATCTCAACGGATTTTTTAAGTGCACTGAAGTCAGCTTTGAACATGATGTAAACATTGAGCATATTTGTGTTGAAGTATCACTGTCATCAAGCATGCACTTTTTAATTGTGGTTTTATATAATCCCCCTTCTTGCAATGAAATGTTTTATGGTGAACTAGATAAATTGTTGAAAATGGTTGCTCATAAGTCAGAAGTTATCATACTGGGTGATTTTAATATTGACTGGCTTAATTCTAGCAAAAGGAAAAAACTTAAGACCCTAATGACAAAGTTTGATTTTACCCAGATAATGAAAGGTGCCACAAGGATCTCAAAGTCTTCAAAGACCCAAATTGATTTAATATTCTCTAATAAAGAAGATCGAATATTAAAATCATACAATTTTCTAACCGGTTTGTCAGACCACAATATGATTTTGATAGCAAGAAAACTTTCTTAAAAACGCCTTCAAAATGTTAACAATATTAAATCAAATATATTAACTATTTTTAAGCGCGATTTCCCTGTTTTAGACAATGAATTAAACGGCATCAGTTGGAGCAATATTTTGGAAAATGAGGATGTCCACAACTGTTGCAAAGAATTAATAAGTAGTTTGGAAGAAGTAATTTCTAAGTTCCTCAAAAAACAAAAACATTTAAAAAAAAAGATCTTTACCGTGGCTTAATGGTGACATCAGGAGATTGATGAAAGAGAGAGACATGGCTTTGAAGAAATCACTTAAAAGTAAATTGAATACTGATATCAACATATATAAAAGTTTAAGAAATCGTGTCATAAAAAATTTAAGAAAGGCAAAAATAGAATATTACATATCTACAATAACAGAAGCCAAAGGAAGTCCATCTATAATGTGGAAACAAATAAATAGCATTGTAAAACCACAGAGTACAACAAAAATGTTTGAGCTTAAAATTGGAGACCAGCAGATAAGAGACATTAAACAAATAGCCCAGGAATTTAATAATTATTTTGTGTCATCTGTGGAGGAGCTGGTCCAACAGTTTGATTTTGGAAACCTTACAAGACCAATTCAACAACAGGTTACATCAGGCACAACATTCTCCATAGAGCAGACTAGTGAATCTATTGTGCTTGATGCCATAAATACAATTAAACAAAGCAATTGCATGGATCTCTCCCACATTAATACTGCTTTTGTAAAGCGAAACAAAAATGCACTCATAAAACCTCTAACGCATGTAATTAATTTGTCCATTGAGAGCGGGCAATTCCCTGCACCCTGGAAACAGGCTAGAGTTATGCCTATCTTTAAGTCAGGATCCCAAGACCAGGCCTGCAACTATCGGCCTATAAGCATCCTGCCTGTATTTTCTAAGGTGTTAGAAAAAATAGTCTCCAATCAGTTAATGGCGTACATACAGTATCATAAAATCTTACATCCTTTACAGTTTGGCTTCCGACCTCATTATTCTACGGATACAGCAAACTGTTATTTTGTTGAACAAATAAAGTTGGCAATAGACAGCGGGGAAATAGTAGGCGCAGTCTTTTTGGATCTCAAAAAGGCATTTGATACGTTAAATCATAAAATTCTAATTGCAAAATTATCCAAATTAAAATTTTCACCGAAAACTTTACAGTGGTTTGAATCCTACTTAGAAGGAAGAGAGCAGTGTGTCACAATAAACAATGAAAAATCATCATTTTTAAAGATAAATACAGGAGTGCCACAGGGATCCATCCTTGGCCCTCTACTATTTACATTATACATAAATGACTTGCCAGAGTCTTGTCCAACAGCAGGTTTTCAGTTATATGCAGACGATGCAGTAATTTATGTTCGTGGAAAGACTGTGCAAGCAGTTTCTAATGAACTGTCAGGACATCTACAAACTGTGTCAGTGTGGTTCCATAATGCAGGGTTGTCTCTGAATGTTAAAAAAACTATGTCTGTCTGTTTCTCTTCTAGGACCAAGCTCATATCTCAAGAACTAAATTTACAGATAAATGGAGCTAGAATCCAGCAGGTCTCAGAAATCAAGTATCTAGGACTAATACTTGACTCACAATTGAAATTTGACAGCCATGTAAAAAAAGTGTCCAGAGTGACAAAAGCAAACTTGTACACATTCAAACTGATTAGAGATTCCCTACCGTTTCACGCTGCTCACAGTTTTCTGCACTCCATGATCTTTTCACATCTAAGTTACTGCATTAGTTCTTGGTCACAGGCCACAATCACTACTATCAAGCCTCTTCAGATGATCTATAATAGAGCTATAAAAATCTTAGATAAAAAACCAATCAGGTCCCATCACTGTGTTAGTCTGAACAATTTAAAAATGCTGAATTTCGAAAACTTTGTGAAATTTGCTCAGTTAAAACTGGTATATAAATGCTTGCATGATAAGGCCCTAAGGTTTTGAGTGACTGTGTAGTTCCTCTCAGAGCTGTGGGCTCAGTCACAAGAGGAGCCCACAGTGGAAACTGTCAAGTTCCCAGACGCAAAACCTCTTTCGGTCAATCAGCTTTCATTGTACAAGGCACCAAAACATGGAACACATTACCTGCAGAACTGAAGGGAGAGTCAAACTGGGTCCTTTTTAAACATAAACTTAAAGACTTTTTATTGAGAGGTCAGTCATGTGAACATTAATAACCTAACTGACCTGATTTTATTTCTGTGATGTTTTAATGTGTAATTTGCTCTGTTCTTCTTGTGTACAGTCACTGTGTTTGTGTAAAAGCCTAACT